CAATAACCTTAAAAGCAATAACCTGTTGCATATTCATATATCTCATACATGATGCATAACTTCCTTGCAAATTAAGAACTTTTCTGGCTTTTGTAAACCTCTTCCCCTTAATCCTGGTGGTTCCATAAAGAGGGAGAGAAGGTGGAAGAATGTTTGTCTTTTCTGATAACGAGGCTGTAACTCTTTATGGGCCCCCTTCACTGACATCTCTGTATGAAGAGTTTCTTGATTATCTCATCTCTTGCTTGAGCTAGTAAAAATATCCTACATCACAGAGTTTCTATTTCAACATTATGTTGTAACCTAAAACTATGTTTAACACACTTTTTAATGTTTTTATAAAACTTTTAGAATAATATATATATAATATATAATATATAATATATAATATATAATATATAATATATAATATATAATATATAATATATAATATATAGTATATAATATAATAAAATATAAAATAAAATAAATTTAAGAGAATTAATACAGCATAACTTTATAACATTACACATAATATTCATTGTAACATTTGAGAAAAGCCAATCATAAAATATGCATTTTTCACAGAAGGGAAAAGGGTAGCAGGGAGAGACTGAATGGGGTTTGCTTGGTGGGACCAGTAAGCCAGCCAAGAGAAATAAGGAGGGTGTTTAGGGGGACAGGAGGCTGGAGGAGAGTGGACAGGATGTATGGACAGGTGGGCTGTTGGCTGCAAACTGTTCCATCTGGCACATGGAAATGTCTGGTGCTGGAAAAATTGCTGGTGAGCTGGCTAAAAACAGCTCTGTTCTTGCCCTGTGAAAACACACGTTTTGAGAAGCTGCTAGGTGAGGAGATGTGTCTGCTGCTGGCCAGAACTGAGATCAGAAAGGACCTGAGAAGTGTCAGGGCAAAGATGAGATTCCAGGAATTCTGCCCTTTCCCACCCTGTTTTTGCTCCAGAAACTGACCCTCACCTTTGTTATGAATGAAGCCCTATATGCCTAATTTAATAAACCACAAAATTAATACTTAGCAGCAATTTTAATTGAGCAGCAATTTTATATAAAATGAATACAATCAAGTAAGCATGTACAAAGTAAATTTGGCAGTGATTAATTAAGTGTGACTAAGGTTTTGATAAGGCATAAGCAAAACTGACTGGGATATGGCGAGGGTTTCTCGCCCTGCCTCATATACAAAAGGCAAAGGAATCCAAACACAACTTATATACGGTATGCTAATACATATTCATCAATATTTTCCGTAAATCTCTTATTTTCAATTCTTGAAATCTATGTCACTATATAGCATAGCATATGCTCCACTTGCTGCCAAGGGATCTTCTTGGGTTTTCAGTGGTAGCTTCTGACGAAGGCTTCTCATCATCTTCGCTGTCCTTTGAACAACCCTGTAGGTTGCACATGTGCCCCAAGGCTTGTGTTATAGAAGCCAGCATTATAGTCCAAAAAGAAGCCTTATTATTTCATAGATACCTGGAATCATCCCAATTTTGTCCATTTCAAGGCTGATTCTTAATTTTCCCGAAGCCTCTTATGTTTCAGGATTTTACTTATCTCAAAATACATGCTGTATCTTATTCTCTCATTAACATCTGAGAGCATCTGTTTTGTGACACTTTTTTACATATCCTTTTCCTCTATTACTTTTAAACAAATATTTTCTAAAATATCGATATAGTTACAATTGATAGCACGAATCATATTCATTTATCACACCTTCTAGGGGCAGGTGTTCCTCTGCTGGCTTCCTGTGTCATGCCAAATGGTACAAGATGGATTCAGTCCTCCCTTGGGAGCTCCAGGGATCCTGGCTCCATCGCAAGTCCTGGCATTCCAGGTGGGCCTGCACTGGCTTCTGGCATGTCACCCACAGGGACCAGGGAAGCTGAGATGGGTTTGGGAGGGAGAAGACACGTCTACCTGAAAAGCGTCTCTTGTTCCGTAGTGCTGCCTTATTTCTCTTTTTTCCTTCCTGGAGCTGACAAACCTAGGGGTGCAGCAAACTCTACTTTGGCTCTGGGTTCTTGAAACAAAGCCTCACAGTTCTGGTTCAGAGCATCTCCCATCTATGTCCTTCCTCTTCACCATCCTTTTCACTTTAGTCCAGGTTTCCCACCCTCTGATTTCCAGCCAGCACTGTCACCTTCCCCTGGAATCTGTGTTTTCCATGCTTGACTACATGGTACCATCAGGTAACATGGCTTAGGACTGTCCATCGTAACCCTGAGTTTTCAGTTGCTGCTACTATTAACCATGTGTGCTCAAATGGATGGATTTGTGCCTCATTTTTTAACTTCTCATTTTCTTTTTCTTGGCATTTTTGCTGCCTAGAGGGCGAGGCTCAGCTCCAGTGTTGCTTTTATCTAAGCAGTACCTGGCTCTTTGCAACCTGGAATTGCAGCCTCATATTAGTTACAAATCCCATGAAAACTGTGGAGGAGCAATGACATTTTCTCAACAGAGAATAGTCACTCAGGTACTGCCACAAACAGAGTTCTGCCCAAGAATTAATTTGCTATCTCAGGGTGGATGCACCTCATGCTTCATGGCCTGTCTGGCAAAATGGAATATTCATACATACCTTCCTTTCCAAAATGTTGGAGTGCATGGCTGCATAAAGATTTGTGAACAGAAAACAACAGGCAAACAGAATTTCTGTCTCTAATACTCTCCTCTGGCAGTCTGGTAATCCTGGAAGCCAACGACCAGGCAAACCTGGTCCTTACCTCTTGTCACAGCCTAGGCAGTGTGTGGAGGCAGTGGTAGCGCAACATACTTCATACTTCTCTCTAATCAACTATCATGTAGTAGCAAAAAGCTTACTCCTATAGGCAAGCAATAAATTAACTCCATTGCTGCAAGGCAGCAAGTTAAAGTCCTGCGAGAAATAAGTGTCTCTCGTATTTCCTAACAGAGCAATGCCTGAATGCAGTCTTGGGCAGTAACTACAGTCAGAGGTGTCAATGGGCAAAGGCTGGGGCTTCAGTCATGAAACTAAAGGATGGATGATCTGAGGGTGCTGAGTCCTGTACAGGACCACAGACATGATGGAAAGTATGGGGTAATCTGCTGTGGGAGTCCAGGGCATTCCTCTGTCTGCCCTGGAGGGCCTGGGATCCTGGCAGGGGTCAGGAACCCCCCGTACAGAGCCCCAGAGACACTGTCTGTGATCTCTGTCCATGGAAAAGAGTTTTCAACCTCACAGGATGAATTACCAGCTCTGAGTGTTTGATATAAGTAATAATTAAGTGTAGCATGGTGCAAAAGTAAAATTTCAGGATTCTAGATTAGAGGTTCAAAAGAGACAAAATAGAAGAAATTAGGTATGTCTTGTCCTTTTTCTTCTTCTTCATGCCCTCCATATTTCACTGTAGTGTTAACATTTTTCTATTAGTTTAGGCTAAGAACACACTGTTCAACATAGATGATAAATATTAGCACATTATTATAAATATAGCACACGTAATTGCTAATATATAATGTTTATAACATCCCACTAAAGGGCAGAGCCCCACACACTGCCCTGCAAAACAAACCTGTGGCAAGGCACCAAAACATATAGATAAGCAAAAATAAACAACCTTAAAAACCAGCATAGAAAAATTATAACTTCTTCTTTAACAACGAGGCAGAAAGACAAAGACTTCCTACAATCTCAAAATCATCAATAACACAAATTCCAGCAATCTGCAGAGAGCATTTTAAAGGGGTAACCTTGTTGCAGAATGATTGTGCTGAGTCCCCACTCAGTTTTGTGGCAGACTGTGGTGCTGGCTGTCACCACCACTCTAGACAAATGACTGCTGTTCTCTTGAAGACAGCTTAATAAAAGGAGCTTTCCTGTGCACCTCAAGAAGTTGAGTGCTTGTGCCTGGTGTTGATGTAGTGGGGCAACTGAGAAGTTACAGCAGCTGGTGTTGAAAGTACACTTCATTGAAGATGGTCTTTTGGTAGCACTCTTGTTTTTGCATGGCTTTCTGTGTCTGAGATGAGGAAAGGTGCAGAAGAAGCCAGCTGCTCCTCTAGTCCTGCTCTCTCTAGTCCTCTAGACCAGGGGCAGAACTGAGGAGCTAGGAAGGGCCCTTGCAGATTCCTTGTGTGTAGTACAGTAGTGGAAAAAGCAAACTCTCTGAGTAGCTGCCAGTGGCCTGCCTGAGAGCTGGGGATGTGGTAGGCTGCAAGGCCACAGAAGCATAAATAAGTTAATAGGACGCTACAAGAATGTTCCCTGCAGCAGCAATGTGACTTTGAACCACACTTACATGGCAATATTTTCATTGCAGAAAGATGAATAATCTGGTAAGGTTACAGCTGCCAGTTATCAGACATCTGTGAGGACCTTAGATAAGGCAAATGTGAATCACAAAACTTGTGATTGTACCAAAAGCTGGGCCACTGCAAGAAGTGATCACAGTGTTGCTGAAAAAACCCAGGCTTCCCATATAAAAGTCAGCAAGCAATTGAATAGCCAGCAAGAAATAATCAAAGCAGGAGGAGTTTTGGGTTTGAGGACAAACTAAAAGAATTTTGCAAGCTTCTTCCTTAAACCTGGGAAGCTCAGGAGAAAACCTCCTCTTTGGAGAGATATGCCAAAGTAACTCTCATTTGAGAAGAAAACAGAGAATATCTTGATAATCCTTCAGCAGATGAGTGTCAGGGGGATGGGAAAGGAGGAACCTGCATCCCTTTTGATTATCAGCAGTTTCTGGTGACACCACCAGTTTCTGCTGTTTCTGAAAGGAGCCTTGTGTGAGGTGTCACTGGGGAGAACTGACAGAGGTCTGACTACAGAGAAACTGGCTAAATAATCCTCACTCCCATTGCTTAACACAAGATCCTGGGGCAACATTTTCTGTTAAGATGTGCCAGTGGATAGTACAGTGCAAGGACTTCCGTGCTGCTGCCTGTGATGTTTTGTGTGTGAGATATAAATTTAGAAATCAGCATCGTTTTCCCACTTACTTCTTACTGGTGTTTTCTTGGTTTGTTTTTTTTTTTTTTTTTTTTTTTTTTTTTTTTTTTTTTTTTCCAGATCCATTTTATAGCTCCAGAACAGCAAGTGTTGCATGGAATAAGCTAAGTCAGGTCTGTCCCTACAGCTGATACGCTGGAACAAACAGATAATCTTTAAGGCATCTGATTTATCTTTGGGTCTGAACTGCAGCCTGGTTTTTTTTCCTTCCCAGCTGTAATTAGCAGTAGCTAATAAAAGATATTTCTCCTCCTTAAAAAGACTTTCCTCTCGCATACTCCTAGACCGCAGTGCTTATAGCCGTGTAAATACTGCCACAAAGAGATCAGTCAGGGTTTAGGACCCAGAGCCCTGTTTAAGGCTTATGGGATGTGACAGCTGACTGAAAATCAATGAAGTGTGATTTACCAAGCGTCACAATGAGGGCAGGATAAGGCTAGAAAGGTGCTGCCTTGCCTTACAGACTCAACTGCCTGCTTAGATTTTTAACTAGATTGTTTTGGTCCCCTGCGAAGATGAGACCCATTTGCTAATGGAAACAGAAGATCAGATTTAAAGGAAAAGCCACAGTGGTGCCCATGCTTTGCCTAGTGCTCTTTGCGCTGTGTCTGAGCCGCTCAGGTAGGTGTGATTTCTTCTTCTTCCAAGCTGAGCTGCAAGTGTTCAAGATTTTTTTTTTTTCCCCTGTTTTTCTGGTTAGCTGCTGCTTTCTGGGATAAAGTAAATCCTTTAAACGCTGTGTAAGTGGCAGAGGAGGGTTGTATCGGTTGCTGCCTTTGTATTACAACCACGGTTTGACAACTAGGTTTTAATTACTGGTGATGGGGCAATTGCTGGCTAGAATTGAACAAAAAATCCTAGGGTCTACTTTTGGCTGCTAAAGAGAATTAAGGGAGAATTTCTGTCATCAAGAGAAAATCTGAAATGCTTTATCAGGTAAACTGATAAAAGGCTAAGTGTCTTGTCTGTATTTAATTGGGGTGTTTTACATGTTTGTTCAGCAGACTTTCTGCCCCAGAACTCCTGTCCTGCAGCCGTGGGGAACTGCTACTTGGACAGATCACAGAGAGAGACAAGAACCTGGGGGAGATGGCAGATGGGCTTGAGTACTGGAATGCATGTTAACCTGCCAGGAAACTCCCCAGTTTTTACCTCTCAGTGTATCACATGGTAGATTCAGGGATGTATCTGTCCTATGTCTGCTTCTCTTTTTTTTTTTCTTTTTCAAAGGCAGTGCTACTTCGTTCAATATTTTCTCCATGGCTTTATCTAGCTTAATCATAAAGTAGAGCTCGGTCAAAGGAACTGTTCGGCTGTTTTCCCACACGACATTTCTTATTAATAACTTCTGCTTTTAAACTGTCTTTGTGGAAGTACTGAGGCTGTCTTAGAGAGGCAGCAATCTTTTTCCTTCTGGCTTTCTTCCTTGTGAGACTCCTCAAGTCTTTTTACTTTTTTGTGGTTTTCTCAGCAGATGAGATTCAACATATCCAGCCCCAAACCCATCTTTACCACCTGTCTTCTATACCCACTTGGAGCATTAGGTACCTGAACTTTATGTGAGATGTGGACTCTGAAATGGCACCATTTTCTTTTGAGGGAGGTCATGAACACCCACGGACACAGAGGGTGTGTGGCTGCATATATGTGTGCAGGATGTCATGCTCAAATAAAAACAGAGGGATGTATTCTGGCAGTAAGACAGAGCTGGTTTTGATTGTGCATATTTTGGGGTTGTGCATTTTTCTTTTCAATGGCTTTTCTGTTGAATTTCTTTTTTTTTTGAACAACTATACACCCTTATGAATCTAAAGGGAAAGAGAAATGTCTGGGAGATGGAGTCTCTGCAAAGACTTTTACAGTCAAGGGATTGGACCTCTGAGGTTGTGGGTGGTGAGGGGGGAGGAATGTGTTCTTTCTTCCTTTTGCTGCAGATGCAATACCCTTCTGCTGTGTTTGGACAGCCAATCTAGTTTCCTAGGACAGTCTGCAGTCTCTGTCCTTTGTTTGTGTTTGCTATGGTGGAGCTAGGGTCAGCTCTGGCATGAGAATTAACCCGGAACAAGCAGAAGGGGCATTTGTAGAAACAGCAGACCTCAAGGGTTTGTGACAAAGTGACAAGGCAGAGTGTGGCCACAGGACCACTATAAACTATGCTGGCAGATTCATGAGACATGCATGGCTCTGGGATGGAGCAGGTGGAAATGAGTGTGAAAGCTCCCTGTGACCAGCCAGCCTCTGCCTGCTCAGGGCTTGGTAACCCCACCACAGCTGTATTGCAGCTACAGAGGACAAACACAGCTTGTGCTAGAACATCTGACAGTAAAGTTGTTATCCTGTGAATGCAAGCACTAGGTTTGGGAATTTATAGCTCCTCAAAGAGGAATGGTATCTTGCTGTGGCTGGAAGTGGGGAATAATGGTGTTGCTTGGACCTTCTGCTATCCTGAGAGGATCCAGAGAGTGTTAAAGAAAGATTTTGTCCCATGGAAAGCTCTGTTATGAGATCAGGTTTTTGCTTTGAAAGGCAGTGCTTCAACCTGTGTTGCTTGCTGCGAGGTCTAGCCCTGTCTGCAATCCTCAGACAGACCCTGACCGAGGTGGAGGAGCCTGTTGTGCTCAGGAGATGAGCAGCAGCTGCTGGGGATGGGGATACGGGCAGAGATAGTGGTCTCTGGCCACATCCTTTCCTCCATGAAGAGGCAGAGCTAAACCCTCTGCCTCCAGTTTTCTCCCTGGAGGAGCTGCTGAGTTTGAGTATCCTTTCTCTCCATGAGGCACAGGGCCCCTGCTGGGGCTGCCTTAACTCTGATTGTTGATGCACACGGTGTGGGAACACGCTGACTGTGCCCTCTGGGGCTCTGTTGCTGCCGGGTCCTGGCACCATCCATGGGCCATGACCCTCTGCCTGCAGACCCCTCCTGCACCTGGTGCTTGGCAATCCCGGTGTCGGAATCCAGGGCTTCCCTCTGGCTGCCCTGGCAGGTCTGGGACCCTGGCAGGGGTCAGGAACCCCCCTGGACAGAGCCCCGAGAGACACTGTCTGTGATCTCTGTCCATGGAGAGGAGTTTTCAATCTTACAGGATGAATTACAAGCTTTGAGTGTTTGATAAGAGTAATAAAGTGTGACACAGGTGCAAAAGTAAAATTTTAGATTTCTAGATTAGGGGTTCAGAGGGGACAAGATGGAGGAATTGGGTGTGTCTTGTCCTTTTCCTCCTTCTTCATGCCCTCCATATTTACTGTAGTGTTGGCATTTTTCTATTGGTTTAGGCTGGGAACACACCTTTCAACATAGATGATAGATATTGGCACATTATTGTAAATATAGTACACGTAGTTTCTGGTATATAATGTTTGTACCATCCCACTGAGGGCAGAGCCCCACACGCTGCCCTGCAGGACAGAGCTGCAGCAGGGCAGCAGAACATGTTAGAGATAAACAGAATAAACAGCCTTGAAAACAGCACAGATGAATTATGGCTTCTTCTTTGGCAGCGGGGCAGAAAGACAGAGACTTTCTACAATCTCGGAATCACCAATACCCACAGATTCCGACATCCCGGCACAGATGTTCTGCTCACCCTGGGGCTGGCAAGGCACAAGCTGGGCCCTGCGAGGTCCCTTTTGACTGCTGACACAGCAATATTGGCTGTGATGCCTGGTGTGTGGGGCCAGTCTTCTTTCCTCCGTGGTGGCTTTGAAGAGAGGTAAAATCCTTCTCACCCTTGGTTGCTGTGTATGTGCACAAGGGAAGAGATGGAGATCATGTCAGAACCTCAACACCATAGGGAGTGGGGCTGAAGTTTGGGAAAGGATAGAGTCTGAGCTGCCCTTTCCCCTTCATGGTGTCAAGGGGAAGGGGGAGCTTGGTATCAGTGATTGTGAGAGTCACAAGTCACACAGGTACAGACTGTGATGGCTCTATGCCTGGCAGATCACTCTGACTGCATCATCCAGCCCCTGTTGCTGCCAGACGGGCTCTTTTTGCTTTTGCAAAGTCAAAGCACAAAGTCATTAGTGCTCTGGTCTGATGGTTTTTTTTTTAATGTGAGTTGGGCTTGGGCTAACTTGCCTTTCGGTTCACTGGCCCTGGTTCTGCTGTGAGGCTGTGCATCTGAATTCCTGCAGAATTTGCTGTGCATGACAAGACCTGCCTAAAGGTGAATTTTCCTCACATCATTGCTCTGTCTCACTTTTTCATGGTCATGGCATTCTCCATGTCTTCTTTCTGGCAATGCCTCCACTCTGTGTTGCTCTCTTCCAGATGTGAATGCCTTCAGTTCAGTTGCTGAAAATGAGGATGCACTCCTCAAGCACTTATTTGAAGGCTATCAGAAATGGGTCCGCCCTGTGGAAAACTCCAACGACACCATCAAAGTCCTTTTTGGGTTAAAGATATCACAGCTTGTGGATGTGGTAAGTGTTGTGTTAGTAAAACACCACTTTTGTAGATAGTTGTGCCTTCACCTGAGGGGGCTGGTAATGTAATTAGCTTTTGCCTCCTAACAGAAGAAATGTACAGCGATGGGTGGGCAGCAAAACACTGAGCATGAAATGCTGCTGGTGATATGACCTTCTTCCCCAGCCCAGCTCCCCTCTACCCCTAGCATGGACCATAGGACTCATTTGTTTTGACAGAAACCTGAAGGTCCTTTTTTCCTTGTTGCTCTCAGGGAATAAGGCCTAATTTCCATAAGGTTTTAATCAAACAACCCATGCCAGACAGTCTTTGACATCTATGTTGCAATTTAATGACAAGACAGCTACAGGAAAGGACTGAGAGAGTTGGAAATTATTCATTCCAAGCAAGCTTGCATTGAGGCCAAAGATAGTTCAAGTTTTAAGCCATCTGGTCACTAAGATAAAACTCTCGAGGCAAAATAGCTAATCCTGTGTTTCTGCCCTTGTGCAAATTTTCCCTTCTCTTTCTGCTGCAGCGTGTGGTGGAATTTGCACAATGCCCAGAGGTACCCACACAGCAGTGTGCTCCTCACATCCCCCAGCCCCTGGTAATGTCCCCTTGCGCTGTGGAAGGCACACTCTAATTTTGTGCTTTATTTACACACTTAGGACAATGTTTCAGCTTGTATCTTCCCAAACTCACTCCAGGCTGTGCAGTATGGGGAGATGAGCCATCCTATGAGCCTACAGCCATGCGTGACCTGATTCCACTTGCTGGCTGAGCCCTGCTGCATCCTGAGTCTTTAGTATATGATTCCTTTGAGCTCCTGTGAAATGCTGGACCTCAGTTTTCCAGCCTCAGAGACTCCCAGCGATGGCAGGGACAGCAGCTAAAATGTCAGAGGGTTTCTCTCAATGTTGACTGAAGAGCCAAGCCCATGGGGAAACATGACCATAGGGATTTCCTCATCTTGGCACAGGGATGGACCCAGCAGGCATAGGGTCTGTTTCTAATGGCTGCTTTGGTATTGCAATCCTTTCTCCCTTGTGTCACTCTAGGATGAGAAGAATCAGCTGATGACAACCAACGTGTGGCTGAAACAGGTAAATTAGACAACATCAGACCTCCCTTTTCCCCATGGGAACTGCTTAGCTGAGTAGCCATCTCAGTTTGCCAGTCACTGTGCCATCCATCCCATTTCACAATGCTGAGTGGCCAGCACCAAGATACCTAACCTGAAGTTTTTACTTCACTCTTCTCACTTCAGCCTAGGTATAGAGACAGAAAGGCAGGCAAATAGGCCTTTAGGACAGAGGGTATCCTCTTCTCCTGACCTGCACCCCAGCTGTGTGCTCAAGCCAGTATTTGTTTCAGGGAAGTGACACAGCTGGTACTGCAGTGGCTGTCCCTGGGATGTTGTATGTGCCCTGAGGGACTATCCTGTCTCATACTTAGAGGTCACACAAGTACTGTCTCCCTTGCCTGAGCCAGGAGTGGTGCCTCAGATAGATTTCTTTATTCCTCAGCATATATCAAGAGAAAGAAGAGGCCAGTATGTTAAACACATGCACCACAGACCTTTTCCCATTAAAAGCTATAGCAAATTAATCAGATCTCTCTATCATAATTGTTTTTGGAACTGACAGTGATTTGTACAAATGAGAGAAAGGTGCAAGTTGAACTGTTAGGTCTCCTTTCTTCTTCTTCACTCCTGAAGAATACTGTTTTTGGTTTAGGTTACATTGCACCAGTTTATTGACCTTGTGACAATTATTTTAAGTCTCTCAGCCTTGTGAGTATCTGTAAAGATGTCAGGTGATCCCAGGAAAAGGACACAAAAAACAAACAGTACCTGAAATCATGCCATGAGGAAAGTTTCTTGGAGGTCACTGGGCTGGTGGAAGAGAAATGTGACTCAGTTTTTCTCTCAGTCTGGGTCCTGTACTGCTGCAGTGAGTGTGAGATTCTGGCTGGAGCAAGACCTCTAAAAACAAATATGCATATTGTGTGTAAAGATGATCTCTCCCTTGAAGAGGGAAAAGCTCAGACTTCCCCTCACTGTGGGGACAAGATTTTCCCCTTTTGCTGGAGAAATTTCTCTCTGACCCAATTACAACTGCTAGCAACCTGCCCTGAATTAATACTCTGCAGTATTACAATTTCCCCACCTTTTCCTGCAATTGTAGAGCCCCTTTTGTGCACAAGACCACATCCTGGCTCCCTTACTTTGAGTATTCACTTGGGCAGAGAGCAGAACCCTTCTGTAAAGGGCCCTCATCTGGTCTCATCTGTTCTCCTTTCCAACCCACTCTCCTTGCAGGCTGTGGCACTCACCTGCCGGACTAAGCCCTGTGAACCTTAGACACACTGATTTCTCTGGAAGACTTTGGAATCCTCAGACTTTAGCCAGGGTAGCTCCTCAGGGAAAACACGGGACTGAGATTTCCCAGAGCTGGACTTTCTGGAGTTGTTACCATTTCTAATACCACTTCTCCATCTGATGAGCTGAGAACATCAAGACCCAAGGTAGTGCAAAGGGAGTGGAAAATGAGGCACAGGCTGTGGCTTTCACATATATACGTGCCCTCAGGAGCTCAGGCTGAGCACTAAATACCTGTGCCTGACCCAGGTGTCCTGCTGTGGAGGTTGTGTGTTCATGTAGGCCCAGCTCCCTCAGCTTTTCCTTGTAAGAGGGATGATCCAGTCCCCTCATCATCTTTGTTACCCTCCGCTGGACCTGCTTCAGAGCTACATGTTTTTTTTGTCCTGAGGAGCCCAGAACTGGACACAGAACTCCAGATGTGCCCAGGGCTGAGCAGAGGGTCAGGATCACCTCCCCCAACCTGCTGGCAATGCTCTTCCTATTCCTCAGGATCCCATTGCTCTTCTTGGCCCCAGGACACACTGCTGGCTCATGGACAGCTTGTTGTCCACCAGGAACCCCAGGTCCTTCTCCACAGAGCTGCTTCCCAGCAGGTCACCCCCAGCCTGTGCTGCTGCCTGGGGTTGTTCCTCTGCAGGTGCAGGATCCTGCACTTGTCTCTGTTGAATTTCAGGTGTTTCTTCTCTTCCCACCCCTCCAGCTTGTCAAGGTGCTTCTGAAGTGCTGCACATCCCTCTGGGGTATTGGCCACTCCTGTGAACTTTGTGTCATGCTGAGAATGCACCTGCCCTTCATTCAAGTCACTGGTGAATAAGTTAAGCAACACTAGGCCCAGTATGGAACCTTGGGGGGCACCATCAGTGACAGGCTTCCACCCTGTGGCATTGATTACAAGCTCTTTGGGATTTGCTGTTCTGCCAGGTCTCAATCCACCTCACTGTTCACTCACCCACTCCAAACATCCTGAGTTTGCTTACAAGGATATTGTGAAAGAGACAGTGTTGACAGCCTTGCTGTAATCAAGGTAGACAACATGCAGTGCTCTCCCCTTGTCCATTCAGGGAGTTGTTTCATCACAGAAGGCAAGGAGGTTGGTCAAGCATTATTTTCTCTTAGCGAATCCACGCTGATTGCTCCTGATCACGTTCATAAGTTCTCAGCAAGAGTCTTACTTTTCTTGGATAAGCAAACCTAAAACACAAGTATTTTCTTTTCCTTTTTTTGTTAACCTGAAACGTCCTGGTGCTCAAGATGGTGGGACTTGATGCAGAAGGAGGCTGACACACAAGGTTCAGAGGAGCCTTTAATGGTTGCTGAGAAAGTGTCTGGATTCAGGCAAGCTGCAAGGTCTAATAGCAAGGGTCAACAATGTGAGTCTAGTGTATTTTGTTCCACTAGTCCTAGGTTAAACTCTTCAATGACAGCACAGAAATGGAAATTTGGAAGAACTGGAGGAAGGAGAGAGCGATTGTATAGTCTGGAGCAGCTTGGAAAAAATGGAGAAGAGAGGAAAGAGCCTTATGCATCTGCTGCTATGGTTTGTGTCAGCATAGCCCACAGGGAGATTCCTGTTTTAAACTGCTCATCTTCCAAATCTGCACACAGCCTATTTTCTGCTCTAGTAAGAAGAAACAACCATTTGCCTTGCAGACATGAAAGAGCACTTTAGCTGGGAGAGAAATCAATGCAGGGCCAGGGGCAGAAAGTGAGGAGTATTGCAGATGGAGCAAATCACCCAGGCCAAGGGGCTGCTCCAATTCAGCTCCAGAGGGATGATTCTCTCTTCAGGTGGTTCACAGGGTATTTGCTGCTCTTGTCTTATTGGAAGCTACAAGATGACTATGTTGGTTGCTGCTGGCCCTGGCTGTCCCCTTGCATGATGTATGTTTCCAGCCTAAGCCCCGTTGTACCCATTACAGGAAGTGTCCAGGACACAGGTGAGACTGTGACCACTTAACAGCCTTCTGGAAACATCTGTGAGATACCCATCCTCAGAGAAAAGATAATGCTAAAAGTGGTGTACTCTGTCCCTGATTCTGAGGCTATAAACAGCAATGGCCCCTCCTCTCCTTCCATGCCTGAACAATAACAAAAGTCTCTAGTACAGCTGTGAAAAGCATGTGGAATCAAAGAAATGAGAAGTGAATTGTTATAAGTAAAAATTAATCGAGCCAAATCTAATATTCAATAAAAATAGATCCGAGATAGCCACAATCCAATCAAAAAGGTCAGTGCCAAGCCCGGGATTGGTGCTGGGTGAGACACAGGTCTAACCCCTACAGCATAGGGTCCCCTGTGTTCACACTGGCCGTCCTGTTTAAGCAGTTTTTATACAGTTTATTCTGCCTGAGGCAGAGTTTTTGGAGATCAGGCTTTTCTTTCCATTCAGAGTCACGCATATTAATAGAATTTCTCTTCTCTATTTGAGTTGAAAAAAATTATGTCCGAGAGTGATGTACATCCCTGGCTGAGTTACTGGAACTTGGCACTGGGATGTATCTTTCTGGTGGCTGCAGCTACCTCAATCTTAGATATTTATCAAGTGATCATCACTTGGGAGTTCCTTGGATCACCTTGGGAAACGACCCATCTCCAGGCGAAGAACCACGTTTATTCGTTTGCAAATGAAGTCCTCCTCCCTCTTGTCAGTTTTCAACATATGTGAGGCAATCCCCTGGCTCTGATTCGCATGCTTAAAACTTTATAGAAATATTTCTTGGCAATATAGCATATTACATCTATATATATCACTTTATAGGCATGAATTATCCATATTACACATAACAGAACCATATGGACAATTAATAGACAATATTGCTTTTTTGGTTCATCCTTAAGTCATGGAGGAAATTACCCAGTGAAGGCTGAGACCTCCACATCCCTGGAGGTCTCTTAGTGTTACAGGTTAATGGAAACTGGTTTATTTTCCACTTCTTGGTATTGACCAGAGTCTACAGCTCTTGCATGATGTTGCTGCTATTTCTGTGGGCAAATGAATATCTTCATCAATAATGAACAAGGATCAGACAGCTGATTTTCCATTGCCTTTCTGTGGAAATCTCCAGGTTGTTGGAGCCATTTTATTATGATCTGCCTATCTGAAAATCCAAAAAAGGAGGGAGAAATTATTCTAAAGTTCAGCATGATGAAAATGGAGAGGACCCTCTCTGCTTTTGTAACCAAATACTTACCAAATTCTTCACAATAACATTATATTATTTTTCCTGCAATAGTCTGCAGATCCTTCTGATGAAAGAGCAATTTTTTAAATTTTTTTTTTTTTTTTTTTTTTGCAAGGATAGGTTCTGGGGTCCCACCTATGTCTGGAGGGACAGTGCTTGTGGGGATCAACACGTCCCAACCATGCCAGTCTGGCATCCTCTCTGCAGCTGAGCAGCCTCATAGCAGTTCTGCCTGCTGTGCTGTGCTGTGCAGTTGTTGAGGCACACATGAGGGTGAGGAAAGAGGCTGCTGCATATGAGTGGGCAGAGAACTCTGCTGTTTTTTATAGGAATGGATCGACCACAAGCTCTCCTGGAATCCAGATGAATACGGTGGGATCACTGCTATCCGGGTCCCCTCTGAGTCTCTCTGGCTTCCCGACATCGTTTTGTTTGAAAAGTGAGTAGTGTTGCTCCTTGCTCTGGGCTTGGGCCAGAGCTTGGGCAAGGCATGTCAGCTACCATGAGGCTTGTGTGTGCTGTCAGAAGGCTGCTCCTGTAGGCAGTGTGAATGTTGTGCACCTTGTGCTCCAGGTGAGGGATAGAAAGCAGAGCTCAAATGGGGTACTACTGGGGCAAACATAGTCCTGAACTTGGTACTGTCTCTTCCTGTCCAACTCCCAGTGCTGATGGACGTTTTGAGGGATCCCTGATGACCAAAGCCATAGTGAAGTACAATGGAGTGGTGACCTGGACACCACCGGCCAGTTATAAGAGCTCCTGCACAATGGATGTGACCTTCTTCCCCTTCGACAGGCAGAACTGCTCCATGAAGTTTGGGTCGTGGACATATGATGGCAATATGGTGGACTTGATTTTAGTGGATGAAAATGTAGACAGGAAAGACTTCTTTGATAATGGGGAGTGGGAGATCTTAAACGCCAAAGGTATGAAAGGCAACAGGAAGGATGGGTTGTACTCTTACCCATTTGTCACTTACTCCTTTGTGTTGAGGCGCCTTCCATTGTTTTACACTCTTTTCTTAATAATCCCTTGCCTGGGATTGTCTTTTTTAACTGTCCTAGTGTTCTACCTACCTTCAGATGAAGGTGAAAAGCTTTCACTGTCAACGTCAGTTCTAGTCTCCCTCACTGTTTTCCTTTTAGTGATTGAGGAAATAATCCCTTCTTCTTCCAAAGTCATCCCTCTGATCGGTGAGTATCTGCTCTTCATCATGATTTTTGTGACCCTCTCTATCATTGTGACTGTGTTTGTTATCAATGTCCACCACCGATCCTCAGCAACTTACCATCCCATGGCACCCTGGGTTAAAAGGCTCTTTCTCCAGAAGTTGCCTCGTCTGCTCTGCATGAGGGCCCATGTAGATCGCTACTCATTCTCAGAGACTGAAGAAAAGGGAACCACCTCGAAATCAAAATTTCTGGGGAAGCAGAAATACAAGCAAGCAAAAGACGGAGAAAAAATTGTTATTGCCTTTCTGGAGAAGGCAGCTGACTCCATTCGGTACATTTCCAGGCATGTTAAAAAGGAGCATTTCATCAGACAGGTAGGTGGAGGGGGAGCAAAGAGGGAATCACACTTTCCTTGACAGCGATGGCTTCCAAACTCTTTCCTTTTCTGCATGCTTTTCCCTTTGCCTCTTCCTCCTGCTCTCCTCTGAGACATATTCTTCCTCAGACCTTGATAAATAATATGTTTTTTGAGACAACACATAGCTTCAAGGAGAAGCGTATTATTCTGTGGGAGTCCCTGCTCTTCACAGATGCCAGAAACTCTAGGAGCCTCTCCTGGAGGAATTCCTAGTTTGGGTTTATTTGAATAACCTTGTCTCGTGTAAACTTGGGATACACACAAATCTGGAAGCCTCTAAACTCATATGCTAAAAATGTAACTTTTACACTTACAGTTAGACTTATATCTATGGTATTTGCCAGGTGCCAGTCCTGGCCTCCCAGCACATACTGTGCACTGCATAATTTTGAGTGAAGGTCTTCTAGATTTTCACTAACACTTGTTTAGATTAGCTCCCAGCTACTATCCTTCACCTCTCAATGAGCCTCCTGGCCTTTAAAATAGCAAATTACTGTGTTTGCAAACAATGAATCTCATGCGAGGGTAGGACAGCAGAGCAGTGCAGCTAGCAGCATTTGGAAAAACTTCTGTTAGCATCCTTCTAGCAAGAGCTAGGGCTTTGTTTAAACTATGCTGAGAGGACTGCAGCAGAAGCAAGAGCAGTAAATCAAACATGTAGAATGTGAACACATACTGTCCGTGACTAATACCTGTTTGAAGCTGAAATAATTTGAATAAAAAGGTTCCTTGAATCACCTTAATAAATAGCATTTTTCACTAAGCATAGTTGTGCCAGCATTCACCATTCAAAATTCCCCTCCTGAGTGTACCCAGTCTGAGTCAACAAATCACATATGCAAACACAAGTAAATTGAACTGCTTGTACTGGAATCAATGCCTGTGACAAGTGCTGTGTCAGAGCCTCATCCTGGAGTTTACAGGGAGATGCAGGTCTGTAAAAAGAAATCCAGTTCACTGGAAAGCCATCCTCAAGGCTAAGTCTGTAGATTTTCATATATACACTTAACTAAAAGCCTTTGTGCAGGCTGAGGAAGTCTCATCACCATGTGCGTAGAACTATGGAATTGCTTTGGGGGTTTGAGTGACTTGCAGCTGTGAGTGCTGAAAAGGTGATCTCTGTTAGTTTTAGGCTACCACATAGTACAAAAGTCTAATTTTAAAACCATATCTGGGGAGCTAAAATGTATGTAGCAGTATCAACACAGTACCAGGCTTGTTACTATTTACGTTTATCCTCCCTCTGTCCTTCCCAGGTTGTACAAGACTGGAAGTTTGTAGCTCAAGTCCTGGATCGGATCTTCCTGTGGTTATTTCTGGTGGTGTCAGTGACGGGTTCAGTTCTCATCTTCACCCCTGCATTACGGATGTGGCTGAACAACACTTTGTAGAAAACATTCCCCCAGTAACATACAACAAGTACAGTGCCAAGGGACGGTGGTGTCTTGGAACTTGGCCTCTGCTGTACAAGAGGGGAAGCAGCAGCAAGAATAAGGGAAGGTGATAGTAACAGTGGGCATTTATTAGATCTTTCAATCTTAATAATAACTCTATCAGTTACAGATTTTGCTGAAATCAGAGAAGAGCTTGGTGCACAGCCAAGGCCTAAAGTGAGCTGGGGTTGCTGGGTTATTATTTTATTGTTAGCTGGGTTGTATTACTATAAAAGCCAAGATTATTAGTTAATATTGGAAATAGAAGGTGTTGCACAATCATATATTCATGCACAATGCATTATATTTAAAAGGCAGATCTGACAGTTAAAATGCTACATTGTAAAAAAAGTTACAGTAGGAACACAAATCTCTACTCAGTTTATTTGTGTTTCCAATTAAAAAGCAGTACGTGTCTACAGATTGCTTTATGCATGTTTCAGAACTGGCAATTGCATAGCATGTGCATCAGAAAAAGTATAAATTCTTCTTAGGCAGGATGCTCAAAACCTTGACTGTCTAGCCTTGCTGCAGAATCAGCTATACACACTTTGTCTCCCACCTCAGCCATCAGGATTGCCCACTTTTCAGTATTATTTGCAGTTTTGCTTGCTGCTTGCTGCTCTTGTAGCATTCCACAAAGCTGACAAAGTGAGGATTTTTTCCCCATGCTGCACATTTAGAAACTATTATTCCTTCACCTGCTTGTTCACAAGTAGAAGATCACCTAAGCAAAGGTAGCTGTGCTATTCCATAAGGCGACAGTGATACTCCTGAAATATTCAGCTGGAGGGAAGCTGCAGACATCTCTTTTGGCAGATGAAAGTTTTGGTTGTTGCAGAAGTGGGGTTTCTCTTGAGAGCTATGGGGTGGGCTGGTCACCAGGAAGATACATTTTCAGATGTTGGCTTGTCCAGGTTTCCTAGGAAATTCAGAATTTCACTCCTTTGATCAATTTATTATGGGATCCTTTTGCATGATTACAAACAGCTCTTAGAAGTGAGATGTGACAGAAACATCTCACATGTTTCTGTGAAACTCTTGAACATAGGAATGAAGCTGTCACTGCTTTTGCTGGGGCAGTGTTTTCCAACATGGTGTGCTTTAGAAAATCCCATTCAGAACTTGCAAATATTTTCAGGGTTAGCAAGGGATTTGGAGATCCAAATTGTGACAATCTAAATACTTGTGAAAGTTTTAGCTAGCCTTGAAACTGAAAAAAAGTGTTCTTGTGCTTGGATTGTGCATGCACACCAGACCTCCATGAGTTAATGTAATCCCATCATGTTGTGTCAATGTAGAAACTTCTGCTCACTTGTGTAATTATTATTAATAAAGATGTATTTAGTAAATGTTTCCTGGGATGTCCATACACTGGAGTTTGTTGTTGATTTGCTGTCAACAAAGCTAGACTGTAGCCCATTTTAAAAGTTTTGTCCCAAATCTATTCAAAGAGGGGCTGTCAGGTTCTTAGGAAGTCCTTATTACTTTTTAGCTCTCTCTGTGAGTTTGAGCAAGAAGCATTCAGATGCGGTTATTATATTGCTGGAATAAACTCATTTCGTTGGGCATATAGAGAGAGATATCTCAGCGTAAGATACTGCCATAAAACTTGACTATTAAAACCGTACAACTCATACACATTGACCATTCTATCAGTTGCTCCTCTCTTCTTGCATAAAGTGCATTTGTTCCCCTAGATGGTACTGTGAAATGTCTGTAGGAAAAGAGCCAGGAAGATCTTCTTTCCAGTGTTTCCAGACCTTTGAGGTGCAGTAGCGATAGGTATTCCCTGTGAGCACTGCATCCAGGAGGCTGCTGTTAGCCGTGGCAGATGACAACCTCCTCTCCTGGGAAGCTGCCTCAGGTGTCCATCTGACAGATGGTCCTGTCTCCAGCATGCAGCACTTTGGCTGCCCACCTGCAGGCAGCACATGGCTCTGTCTCACACGTCTGTGTCTGATGCCAAGCCGCTTTTTCTGGCTTAGGCTGGTGAAGATCAGCAGAGCTCATGTGTTGGAGATGTATGAAAAATGCACAGGTATAACTTCTGGCCTTGAGTCTTCCTAGCATTGCATCTGGTACTGCTACAGCTGTGGTCTCATTACTCATTCCCTTGTGCTGCCTGATCCTGAGCTTCTCTAAATCTCTTTGCTGCTGGCCCACAAAGGCATTCAACATGTTCCCCACAAAGGTCTGCCACTAAAAACACAAGTAGGGAGGACATTTGGACAGACAGTCCCCCAGTGGGGCCATCCCTCTGCTCTACCTGCTCTGTCTGTGGATGACAACATAGCAAATCACAAGCCTTAACAACAAAACAGTAACATTCTGCCTGAATACCGTCTCAACCTGTGCTGCCTCAGTTTCTGGTTTGCTGAGACATTGGCACTGATTTGGCACTCACATATATGACCCTTTCACCAAAAGATAAATATGAAAAACTCTTCTGGGCCTTTTAGTGTAGGCAAACTGGAAGAATGGTCTCCCTTGGGAAGAGAATGTAAAGAGATGTTGAGCTGTTGAATTGCATCTGTGCTTTTAAAATTAATTCATAGACGTCATCACTCCCACAAGGGGAGGAGAATTCTTGCTGCCAGTGGTACATTCATCACTGAGACATATTAATAAGGGGTGTTGCTGATGTGAATTTGGAGCTGATGGGGTGAAAATAGACCTTTCCTGTGGCTGTGCACAGTGTGTGACCCAAGTTAACATCTTGGATGGCACTAGCTCTAGTTGTAACTTTTTTTGTTATTTCATTTAGAAGGTCCCCTAACCTTCAACAAGAGTTGGGCAAGCAAAACTGTCATTTTTGTGTGGGCTCTTCCATGTCTGCTTGCAGGGTCACACCTGCTGCAGCCTTCTTCAAGGTGACAAGCTGATATGCTGCTTTTATCCCCCATCTCTCCTCTCTATAATCAGTCAAGTACTTTCACAAAGCTGGCAGCAGTACATTAGGCTCCCAGTACTAAATGTGTCAAACATGGCTGAGAATTGCAAAAGATGGCTCCAAAAGTTACTGAGCTGGAGAAAGGAAGGGTAGATAGTACACTAAAAAGAGACAGAAGATGACTTTGTAAATCAGGGATTTTGCTGAAGTCAGATTATTCACTGTGGGGCTGTAGCTGTCATGCTTAAGACACCAATGCAATGCACCTTCAGCCAGAATATTTTCATGGTTTGGATGGTCATAGAGTGTAACAGTGAATGCTGGCAGTCAGACATCTTTTCTGTAGAAATGAGGTTTTTAGGTTCAGAATTCAGCTCTCCTCTTCAAATTTCCTTTTTCTTCCCTCACCTTCTTTCTGATTAAAGAGCCAGTAGTAGCATCTATAAGCACATTTACAACAAGAAATCTAAAAAAAACCCCAAACCACAAATTCTTCAAGAAGGTGTATTATCAGGAGTGACATTTAATTGAAAGGCATGGTTAATAAACCATGCTTTTTCATACATCTGTATGTCAGTTGCTACATAACTGAACAACATTCAGGAGGATTACAGAAAATAATAGTTTTCTTCTACTTGTTCTTCTACAATCATAACTGGGTGGATTAACAGTTATATTCTCATCATTCTGCCTTTATCTCTAATACATACACTAATTCATTCCCATTCTCTTTATTATGAAACACCAAAAAAGAGTAAAAGGCCAGTCAGTGACTTCAGAAATGGGGAGTGTTACTTTCCAAGGACTGATGATGTTCAGAGCAGAGACTGATGCATGGCAGACACTAAAAACACTGCATTGACACTGTACAGTTAAATTCAGAGGTTCTTATAAGACAGAAGGGCTTTGTATTCTTGGCACCATTTGGTTTAATTGTAGTGGTGCCTTTTAAAGAAGAACCTTTCACCACAAAACAGGAATATAAACAAACAAGGGACTTAAGGATAAACCACCCATATTTTATAGGAACCACATGAGGAACACATCTACTAAGTGTTTCAGGAGGAAGCACACTAGGATTGAGACCTGGTTACAGAGCAGCAACATCAGCCCCAAAGGACATGACCCTAAATTTCAGGTTTGCACACACAGCACAGACCCCTGAGGAGTCAGGAAACAGAACACTGCTGCACAGCTGCTTGAAACAGCTTTGCATAGGATTCATGGTATCCATCCTTCTTCTGCTGGGATATTGCATAATTTAGGTTGGTCTTGGGTTTTTAAAACACAAAACCTCAGATCAATCCAGTGCTGTCAAACCAATTCTGTCTGTGACAAGTAGCTAGTCAGGGACAAACCCTTCTCTATTGGGTTTGTGTCTGAGCCTGAGCAAGCTAGAGTTTTCAGAGCAGAACCTGTGGACTAGGACCACAGTTAACCTGATGAGATGTGTGGCTTGGAAATCTCACTGAAGCTCATCAAGCTCTTGGTACTCAGTATCATGAAGTAAAGGGGACTTGGGTGACATGGAAAAGTAAGCGGCAGATCAAACTAATTTAAAAAGATATTAGAAGCACAAAGTTTTCAAATGTGTATCCTCACATGGTAACCACATTCTAACATTAAGTCAATTTGTCTTTAAATATGATTAAATGCTTAAGACCTGTCTGTTTTCAAACATAAATATAAACACATACTTTATTGTTCTGGGAGCCTCTGTGGCTGAGTGCTGATGAAGTGGTGAGCAGATGTGTTATGTTAGAGGAGAGAAACAGAATGTAAATTTCTGAACTGAAAATGAAACAAGACCCAAAGTGGATAAAAAGCAGTAGATTGAGTTATGTTTCTGCTATTAGTGGCTGGATGAAGAGCCCTACAGTCCCAAAAACACACAGGATTATAAATACCCAGAGAAATACTCTGTCTATCACCATAGCTACGTATTTCCAATCATCTTCCACCTGCAAGAGAATGAAAAAAGAGAAGGATAAACTACATGTAATGTTACATACAACTGTGAGTTGACATTATGCAGTAAAAATGCCCTTTGTGCTTTTGATGTAAAGAACACATGTGCAAGTTAGGAATGTTGCTTGTCATGCTTATAGTTGCTGCAGTATTCACATCTCTTCAGAGGGGGCTGATTTTCTAACAGTATTTTAGCACTTTTGGCTGAGAACATACAACACTGTCATAGTCTGCGGAATTGTTCTAAATATTAGAGTCTCACCAGTCAAGCCCCACTGAATTCAGGAAACTGGATGCACAGACACATGGACTATGAGCTCCAGCTGAGCAAACTGCAGTGTCATGTGCTAAGCAGGACAGAGGGGGTTTTGCATGGCTGAGAGACAAACCTTAGAACCACAATCAGTGAAGTTGCTGTCCTTTAAACTTGTAGTGCACAAGAAACACTGCATCAGAAGAACGTTCACACACATAAACTAGTGACTAGTTAAGAGCTCTCTGCTGAGGGATCTTCCACTTGTTTTCCCAATTTTGTTATATTTGCCTCCAAGAAAATATTGGCTTTAGGATTTTGATAGTGTTTAGGGTGAGGAATACAGCAGTAGGTATTGGGAAGTATAAGTAAAATTTAAGTAGAGTAAGTTTGAAGTTGTAGATTGTGATAATGGCAATACAGCCCAGGTGAGAAACAAATAAGGTAAGAGTTTTCAAGTTTGTATTTAGTTTAATCCTATCCAACCTCCCAGGGCTACTGAGAGGATAGCTATGATAGTCATTAGTGTTGGGTTGAGTGATAGGGATGTTATGAAAAAGAGGGTGGCCATGATAGTAACATGACCATGGACAGAAACAGGCTGGTAGTCAGGGAAAAGCCTTAGAGGACTTCTGAAAATCAGACATGGAAGCTGTACTTTGCATGAAAGAACACTCAGGAAGAACTCCAACAGCTTGGAGTTTCTACAATTGTTGTAGAAAACAAGTTTCTACAACATGTTGTAATATTTCTACAATTTTTAAAGGGCTTTTATTTATATAGGACTAACACACTGTAACACCACCCATATTGCTTTGTATATCTGGCTGAAGCAGAAGCAGCCTCCAGAATAATTTTTCTCAGTGCTTGCCTGAGAATAAGTCCTGATATTTCTCTGAAAAGGGGGATTTTTCTAAATGAAAAATCATGCTTCCCATCTCTAGTACATTCTGAAAGGTAAGATACAAAGCTGCTTATGAACACACTGGACTAAGAATAAAATTTCATGTGGCAGGAGAGATTTGCAAAATGTAAATCACTGAAACTAGCAAAGGAGGATTTCTCGTGAGCTGTAAAATCAAGACAGCAAGTTATTTGGATGATTGCATGGAAAACATCTTTTTGGGAGACCATCAGAGAAAGAAGATGAATCAGAACATGGATATGTTTTATGCAGCTGGTGTGATAATGAAAGTAGGGCTGAAATGTGTGGGTTAAGCAAAACACTAAGGACATGGGTAC